TCACTAACCACTAATTAACTAAAAAAATATACGTAAATTTATGAAATTATGAAAATAACAACATAAACTTACAAAAGCAACGACATTCAAAGTTCAAAACTTCAAACAAAATGGCCGACGGATTAGTGAAAGAAAGAGAACTGTACTGAGGGAGTGGGATGGCAATATCCGGCTACTTCCGTGTGCCATTATTTGCCGTGCCAAGTCCATACATTTTTATTTTTCTTCTAAGTTGCGCTAGGCTGGCATTAATAAATATATTTATCATGGAGTTGAACCAAAGACAAAAACCATAGGTAATTTAAACAGGTCTATATTTAGCATTGCCTTATGGAATATAATATTTAATCAAATAGTCTAAGACCATTCATTAAATTTATTTATATACAGTCAACGAGGAAGGCATTCACTTTTCTAATTGATATTTATCTCTTTGAATATGGACGGCGGTGGGGCGAATAGCGTTACCCAAAAGCACATTTTGAATGTCAACAAATAGTTCAAGAATTTAGTATTGTGAATATTACAACCGACAATGAAATGAACCTTTTATTTTTCGCATCATTGCACCAAAGAGAATATAAGCACTACGTTTATCATAGAGCACGCACTTATCATAGAGTTGAACCAAAGACAAAAAACCATAGGCAATTTAAATAGGTCCATATAAATAGTCTATGACCATTGACCATCCATCCAAAGAGTATGTAACCACTACGTCATCCATCAATCAAGTCTATTTATTTACAGTCAACGAACGAGGACGGTCTTCACTTTTATAACTGATATTTATCTCTTTGAATGTGGACGGCGGCACGGCGGTGGTGCGATCAGTGTTATCCAAAAGAACATTTGAATGTCAACCTTTAATAGCTTCAAATTTCTAAGAATCGCATACCATGAGCTAGGCTATTCTATCCGCGTGTAGAGCTGGATGTGGTGGTGTATGTAAATAATTTACTCTATTTTTATCAAACTTCAGAGGAAATAGGGCGACTGTGGTTTGTATAACGAGTTAATGTTTTAAAAACTGATTTCTTCTTTCTCTATAAATTAAATGTGCTAAATGATGTTACTTTTTTTTTCAGTACATGACTAACAATAACGAACAAAATGGCCGCCAGCCTCCTCTACCGCCACAACAGACATCAATTCGACAATCTACAGATCAACAAAATCAACAGATTAGGAAATGTCGTGATTGTTTGGGGCATATGCACTAAAGGTGCTCAATGTAAATTTCGACACGAGTTAGATGTCGAATATATGAAAGAGATTTTGAGGTTCTGTCACGACTATCAAAACAAAACTGGCTGTACTAGATCAGATTGCACATACTTGCACGCAAGTAGAGAAGAAGAAAACCTCTTTCTAACCGCAGGACAAATACCCAGAGCTCTGGCGGAAAGATATGCAGCTATGTCTAACGCACCGATGAGCATGTATGTGAACGAGTATATAGCTCAAGCACCACCGCCACCTCCGCCGCCACCGCCGCCGCCTCCACCGCCAAGTTCTGCATTGCACCACCACTTCCAGTATCTATACCTACTTTATTTGCTCCGCCGCGCCTCCACCGCCGCCGCCGGCCGCCGCCAACCCACAGCTGTTGCACCCTGTTCAGATGACACCACCCATATTCTCAGGTATGTTTTTGTTTAGCAGTTATTCAAATTGAATTCTCAAACCATGGAATCTGTTTAAACTTGAGACTTAGACTTTGATTTTTTTAAATATGCAATATGATAAATTTTAAATATGTAACAGTTTTTTAATTATAATTACACCATGCCATGTTAAGAACCAAACATGAATTTTTGGTGTATGCTTTTTAGTTGTCCTTAACAATAAATAATTTGGTATGTCACAGAAACAGAAAACAGGTCATTAGGTGCAACCAATTTTGTTCCCACTACTCAATGCAATATTTTAGCCTGTCAAATCTAGTGTGCAGATTAGGCAATGTTATGAAATAACTTATGCTGCATCCGATTTTATACTGCTCGAATGTTGTGCTAGATCAACATATAAGTATGTTTAGTGCAATTTGTAGTTATATGAAATTGTAACTTAATATTATTATTTTTTACAGCTCCACCTGCCTTTAATGCTTCTGCTATGTTTACTGCAACTCAGCCACCACCACCATTGCCACATATGTAAGTCTTTCTTTGTAACTCTGCAACAACATGTAAATAAATATCTTTTTATTGTGATCAAAAATTATAACCCCAGTTTTTAATCTTTACATATTTTTGCAGGTTTGATGCTAGCAGACCTCCTCCTCCATTGCCAACTAATGCAACTCCAAACAAAAATGGCGCCATCAAACGTTCTGCAGAACTTTCTGATGAGGGTAATTATCATAATATTGTATTATTACAGTATGTTGGTAGACTAAATGTCTTAACCTGAAGACCTTATTGAAAGGTGATAAAAAAGTACTGGTACTCAAGGAAATGAAAATAATTGCGATTGTTTTCATTACAAATGTTACAAAATACCTTCAGTAATAAAATTCATCAGTATTTGAAACAAAATAGTAGCTCTAGTAAAAACTTAAGATATATTGGGGAGTTATTTGATTTTTTATGTATTTATGTGTGACATTTGATTTAAAAGTGTAGAATTGCTGATATGTGGTTACAGAAACATAGCGTCACCAACCAGTTAAACAAAAGAGAAGAGTGCCTATACATACAACAGAATAAAGATTATATTATGTTATGACATGTTTTCAATCTTAACTGTAACAAAATCAGCTACTTGTTTTTTTTAACATTCACTAATTGATGCTCAGCGTAGAAAAAAAATTTTTTCATTAAAGGGTAATTAAAATAAAAGAATGAATAGCATGCGCGAATATTTAGCAATACATTTTGTGGAATAGCTTGAATATTTGGTTCTAATGTGACTTCTATTTGTTTATAAAATTGAGTCTTTTTGTATTGTTAATTACTAATTAACTCATAAGTTTATAGATGTATAAAATAACATCTTCCTTTTCTCTTATATTTATATTATTGTTTCATCATTTTGACATATCACAATCATTTCTTTTGTATCACATTCATTTAATGATATACATTTTGCCAGATTGGTTTACATCCAAAAAGGTACAAGCATTTTTTTCTTCAACATTGTCTATATTTGAGACATCACATTAGAAATACATAAAAAATAAGCTGAATAATACTGATAAATTTTTTAATCAGGTTGTGACTAAATCGCGGTTTCTACTATTCTTCAGAAAATTACAAGCAATGAGAATTATGTTCTTGTCATGACCTACTCGTATTAGATTAAACAGAGAAGCATGATTTTGATTACAAAGTTTGCTGAGATTATGAGATGGCAAGATAAATGTTACTTTAGAACAATTGTTATTCAAGTCTGGCACAATCGAGATATTTTTCACGATTTATAGGTATATTGTTTTAGAATTTAATTAGAAATCTAAACTTATTTAATGTAAATAGGAAGGTTTTATTTAAAATGCAGTGTATACATATCTAAAGACAAAACAAGACTCATGGTATTTTATTATTGAATTAAAAGTTTGCAATCAATTTAAAAATAATAACGATTTTTAACCAATTTAAGAATAATAAATCTTGAACAAATAGTATAAAAAATCATTTTAAGAGCACATTAGTCTGTTGGCAGTTTTAGCGATGTCCATTGTGCAGTATTTATTTAACTGTTAATACTTATAAATTAGTGATAGGTGCATCTCAGCCGCCAGGCTTAGTTGTTATAATAGTATAAGCATTGTCAGGAACTAGCTGCTGTACACATACACAGTCACTGAATAAGGTCATGCATTGGTTATTTTATTTTTGATAATGTAACTATCAGTCAGGTTAAGAACATAACTGGTTTTGTGTATTATTCATGTCATAATCCTTGAAAAGCGTTAGGTGTTGTCTTCTTTCAAAAGAGAACCTGTAGGCAGACAATACTTTTTATGTAAAAGTTTATTGCATTTAGTTTATAATTACATTAGGATAGCTAATGTTATTTGCTTGGCGCATATTTATTTTGTTCTCAGCCGGGCCAAGCAAAACCAAGAAAGCGGACTGCGTCAAAGTTGACGGCTGCGAAAACTGTATCCAGCGGGAACTCAGGTTTGCAATGATGAGATTCTTCTTCATATTACTTGTTCGCATGACATTATTTAAGAATAGTAGCGCTGTGTTATTTTTCCGGGGTAAGGTTTGACACTGTGATGTATGAGAGTGGTAATGAATCGGCGAGTGTTTTAAAGCGAAGCGCATTCTAATTACGAATTAATTTTTAAAAGTGGAGAAGCGAATTTTAGCAATATATTATTATTGTTTACTACTTTGATTTTTGCTTGCATTATGCAAAATTATATAAAACTCAAGCAGACCTCGTGATCGCTACAGTTAAACAACGGTTCACTGATTAACACTAATTAATATGCAATCAAAGAGCTTAATGGTTAAAAAGCACGCGGGCTTCAAGTAATATGCTATGATGCTGTGCGATATAACAAGTAAGATAGACAACCGTTTGTTATTATATATAAATTTCTTCAACACGCGAGTGGCAGGATCCTCTTTTGCGCACTTAATTAGCATTGACATTTGGCCAAATGACTATTAATTAAATTGCCAAGTAAGTTGCTAAGCCCAATATAATACAACATCTCGGCTATAATTCTACTACTTGATTCAAACATTTATTGATGTCGAAGGAAGCTAAATATGAAAAATCGCTGGTCGTACTAAAATCGTGGATTTGTTAACTTTGATATCTGAGATGTCTGCACAGCGATTATAATTGAACCTGGGATTGCATTTAACTTGATGGTAATAAATCCTATGGTGTTTTGATTCCTGCAATATATAATACGAGTGTAACGTTTATAAAAGATAGCTTATTTCATATTAGAAAATAGTTGCTATACGCTAATATATAACTGTATAGCAAGCTAACGCACGAGATACATTAATGAACAATCAAATATTCATTAGGTCTGAGCTGTACCGCCAGGAATTGCAGAAGCTGGAGTGTGAGCATGAATATCAGTCCTACATATTCGAGAAGAAGTCTGCTGAGTATGCCAATGGTAGACTGTTGCTGAAGTCAGCTGTCAGCTCAGATTGGTTCCGGATTTTGGATGAGTATATAGAGGTACTAGAAAGATACAAGTTTTTTATAATTTAATAAATAATGAAAAATAATTAATAGTATTTTTCTTATTCTTATTGTAGGAGTCATCTGAGCCGGCGCAAATTCATGATCTGCTAACCCAGTTTAATCAAACCCCTTCATTTGCTTCTGTAAGTGATTTTTTATATGTATTAACTGAACTGTAGAAAAAAACTCTACTAAGCAAACTTGTTAGCTCAATGTGCAGGGATAAATAAACTCAAAACAAACAGGCACTTAATTTTTTTCTTTTTATGACAAAGGTTTTATTACTTTGACGATACATGCTATATAGATAGCATGTTGTTTGAATCATCCTGCATGATTCTTTATGTTCCAAATTTGGAATGTGATATTAAGAAAAATAATGATTATCGTGGGAAGCGCGGGAAACGTCGGCTTTGGCGGGAGTTTTTTTCTTTGCTTTAAATTAATTTAATTATTTTTCTTGTGTAAAGGATCAGAAAAGTAGTAGATTGTACGTGTTATTCTAATTAGTTTAGTTTCATAATTTGTATATTTAATTTGAGGATTCTGGTAAGTTTTTAACTCTTCTTGATCCGGGAGGAGGCTCCATACCTCCTCCAACGACGAATCTGAAAGCATAAGAATGTGTATGACGTGCATCCCCAAAATGCAATAAAAAGGCGCCAACAAAAGTCGACTTCTGTTTCTGTTAAAGGAGAAGATTGCGATTGCCAATGCCAATATTATAGTAACTCTGTTCAAACTCCACTAATTGCGCCTCCTACTATTATTGTCAATTCAATTTCAAATGAAAATAATGTAGCTCGTGCTCCAGTTGGCAGAACCCTGTATCAGTGTCCCGATGTTGCCCCATTCGTTGTCCACGTTCAAAAGGAACAGATGAAAATATAAACATAATCCATCCGGTTTCTTTTGGTTATTTTATGAATTAAAACAATTTCCGGAACATCATTGTTGGAAACTTTAAAAGAATCGGCAGAAACAGTGTTTCCTTATCCTTTTCGAAATTTGAAGATGCTGACAGTTTCATTACCAGTGATGTTTTGAAAGATCATAAATACAAGGCTTTTATCCCTTCTCTGACGAGGTGATGAACAATTTATATGTACCAATCAGCTGTCATAGCATAATTAAAATTTACCGTTTAAAATGAAAAGCTGTTCTGAATAATAAAGTTGAATTTACTCCTATAGAGACTGTTGTGATTACTATGGGCGGGTTCATCCCAAAAGGGTCTTCATGTGTTACACCTCTTTTGTAGTGCTTCTAGTGCTGTCGATTCAGACACGTCAAAGTCAATGCAGATCAGTCTCGAGATGCTTCAGATGTCGAGGAGCTCATTCTGGTGGCACATGTTCAATAACTGAAGATGATCCAATTCGCTGCCTTTGTTCAGGTTCCCATATTGCTACCAGTAGAAAATGTCCTGAATTTTCTACGCATAAAGTTATAAAAGAGTCTATGGGCAAGAACTACATTTCCTATTCAGAAGCTCTTAAGCTTCACCCTTCAGTCAAGTGTGCAAATCCTATGCCGATATCCTTATTTCTCTGAAGTCAGTGAATGCTCCTGAGCCTCCCTCATCTGCTTGGATTATTTGGACTTGGACTGCTTAATTACGTCACCTAGGTCCGGGTGCTACCACGCGATACGCGTACTAAGTTCTAAATAATCAGTGTTCATATTATGTAATATTACATTTTCAGGAAACTTCTACCGTGCCAAGACAATTTCTACTGCAATTGATCGAGTGCGTTTTTCGTAATCAACGACCTGTTGTAGAAACGGTTAGTAAAAGTTTTATAGCTTTTAAAATATATTTTACGTATATATTTAAAGAGACTGGTTATGATACGTGTTTGTTGCATATGCCGCAGCCGCCTGTACCAGTCGGAATGGAAGAATCTCCACTATTACAGTCACTGGCTGGATTCACCAGAAGAGCCAATCCGATTAATCATATGTCTACCGACGTCATCCAACTATGTTGGAAGTTTTAAGAAATTGTAAGTTACATAACTACTAAAATGTAGACTTTTTAGTCACTCACACTTCAGAATAGGCCTACTAAGACTTAAAGTGGAATTGCTTTGCTGCTGCTTTCACTGGTCTTTTGCAATAAAAATCGTAGTATTATAGGTTATACAATTTTATGGTACATATTTTAGTTCTTAAAGCATATTGGTACTTACCAAATATTTTTGATTTAATTTTTCAGCTGCGGCATTAACAAATGAAAGAAGCCTAAACGAATCGCGCGCAAAAGAACTTTTAAATACGGAACGAAGCAGGCCAAGTGCTTCAAATGTTAGCAACAATAATTTTGGACAATTTATCAATGGACATACAACAGACAGTGCCACTTTGGCATCTATTACGACTCCTACAAGATATCCATGCACAACCAACATAACGGTGCGAACATTCGCCAGTGGAATGGTCAACACAGTGGCTTCAGCTTCGTCTCATTCACACCCACCGACGGCGGTATACTTGACTAATGCGCCTCACCTGCCGAATACACCCCTTACTTCTGCTGCACCCCGTCCACCGACTGCCCCTCATCCAACGCCGGCCCCTCATCCCCCGGCTGCTCCCCATCCTCCAAGCGCACCACATCCCCCGACTGCGCCTCATCCCCCTAGTGGTCCTCATCTTCCACAAGCATCTCATCCTTTAACTGCACCCCATCCGCCTAGTGCTTCCCATCCACCGACTGCCCCGCAATCACACGTGAGAGCAGTGACTACGCCGTCAACGTATTTACCGTACCAGCCGGCTGTTCCTCCACCACCTACGAGAGGTTACTATCCACAAGCTTATCCTTCTACGTCAAGTAGTAAGTTACTATCCATTGAAAATTTAATTTAAATCGCTTTGCGCTTTGTGATAATATTTATTTTTGTAAATGTTTTAGGTGTACAAAATGCCCATCAAACATATCCAAACTTTCCTGTGCGAGTGGCAGTAAATCCTCAAATGGCTCGTTCTTCAACGGCAACGACGGCGACGGCGACTGCGACGGCACCAGCACCGTCGGCGCATAATGCACAAAATTATAACGCGTATCTTATGGCCAGATATCCTCCCCAGCCACCTTTTGGTCCATACCAATAACATTGCGGTATGTACATTCAATATTCAATATGATCAGTCCAAAGCACAAAGATAAATAATTTATGACGACGCTCTCTACAGCGAAATTTATTGCGAATGCTGATGAAATATTATTATTATGTTGACTAAGCAAGATGGTTAATATGTATTTTGTGCAAAGTCAACCTTAAAGGATTTTCTTAATTTAGAAGGGTACAGGGACAAAACAAGGAATGCTACTTACACAAGTTTTTGTATAATACTTAGAATAGTTACACCTAGAACGATAGTTCTCTTCAAAACGCTCTGTCAAAAGTGAAACAAGATTCAAATTGATGTGTGCATAAGATTCCTGTATTTACGGTAGACGTATCGCACACATTGAAAAAATAATGCTGACATTACATTAAATTTTCCCTATAAGTGGGGAAACACACAGCTATTTAAAGCCTCTTACTTAATTTTTGAAATATTATATTGTTAAGTTCCTTGTGCTTTTCTAATGTACTGTGACATCTGTGCACAATCCGTCATTGTTAATAAAAATATCGCCAGTAGTTTTCAATACGAAATGACCTTGAGCACTGATAGATTCTAGATGTAATTATTCTGAGGTATCACACGTACCTTTTATTTGTTTTTGCTTGACGTTTTGGCAGGGTTAAACCTGCCATGGTCACCAGCAGTGTCTGCTTCTAACCATGGCGGATGTAATCCCGTGAAACAGTAAAGTAATAATATGTAATGCGAAAGTTTAAAAATAAAATGTCCTTTAGAACCCATACGGAGTATATATGTGTATGGGTGACGCCTTCAAAATAGGCTTGTGTCTGTTGCTGTACTAATTGGCAAGTTATTTTGGTAGGTGATTCTTCTACATTCTGGTTTTCTTCTTCGCTTATGCATGATGAAGTGATGTTAGGTAGTGGCACATTTTTGGTAGTCCGCAGCAGTACCATAAAATTCAGTATCTGCCTTACTTGAATGGTTGCCGTACTTAATGTATATTTCATTTTTGTGTGACATTCCTTGTTTTGCCCCTGTTCCCTTTATGATGTATAAAAAAAATAACATGAGGCTTTTCGAAAGCTGCGAACTTTTAAGACTGATAGGTTATAACATTATATAATAATATATTTTTATAATAGATCTTGAATTTTAGGCCAGTTCAGATAACGTTTGGACACTAAAAAATGTTAACCGTATATCGTACCAATGACGTCATTCCCAAAATTAAAAGGACAGCAGTTGTCTTAACATATTTAATAATAATAGAAATTTAAACCGATATTTAAATAAATATTTACCTGGTTTGGGTTTAGGTTTTGAACCTACTGTTAAGAAACGACACGCGCACAAATTTGATTCGACGTTTTCTACCCATGTTAACCACAAACAAGTCGCTTGTCGAAGAAACCGGTTAATTTTGGTTAAAACAAAGTTCTTAAAATGTTCACGTCTTAAGAAAAGGTCGGCAAAAATTTAATAATTCCACAGAACAGGAAATTAAGTAGAAGTGAGGGGGGCTCTTTTCTCAAAAGGAGAACCAGTGTCGCTAAACTCACTTAGTCGCAAATTAAATGGTCCATTACACAGTATACAGCTGTTTTACTGTGTTGTTTCAATACTAATTATTATCATCAATACGAAACCCAAACACAAGGCAATTACTCAAACAGTGAAAGAGATCCCTCGACTGTCTTCCGGCTCCAACATCAGAATGCCTATTACAGAAAATGCCTACTAAAACAACATATAAACGTAACATACTGAGAAAAGCTCTACTAGTTTCGAACCATAGAGGGGTTCTTCATCATGAGCAGCGTGCGCGGAACCGGCGATGTCGCGGAGCCTACTGCTGGTTAGTAGCGTTGGCGCCTGCATCGCTGTTAATGGTTGCGCTGCGGCGAGTCTAACGCGCCATTGATCGAGTGCGTTTTTCGTAATCAACGAACTGTTGTAGAAAGTAAAAGTTTTATAGCTCTTAAAATATATTTTAAGAGTATATATTTAAAGAGACTGGTTATGATACGTGTTTGTTGCATATGCCGCAGCCGCCTGTACCAGTCGGAATGGACGAATCTCCACTATTACAGTCACTGGCTGGATTCACCAGAAGAGCCAATACGATAAATCATATGTCTACCGACGTCATCCAAACTATGTTGGAAGTTTTAAGAAGTTGTAAGTTACATAACTACTAAAATGTAGACTTTTTAGTCACTTAATAATATTTGGCCGGCTGGTTTACTTATGTAAGAAACTTTATAAAGTCTTTAAAAAAATACACAGTAAAGTAATAAACTTTTCTGTTCTTCAGAATTATATTATATATATAGCCTATTACAGAAAATGCCTACTAAAACAACATATAAACGTAAACATACTGAAAAAAGCTCTACTAGTTTCGAACCATAGAGGGGTTCTTCATCATGAGCGTTGGCGCCTGCATCGCTGTAAATGGTTGCGCTGCGGCGAGTCTAACGCGCCATCTGCCGGATACTACGCGCGTTTGCTTCCAACACCGGCGGCGGCGCGTGTGACCAGTGGCGCGGGTAGTGGGTTCGATTCCGGGCCCAGCACAAAGTCAGTGTTACATATAACGCTTACTGTGTCACACTCCAGACCTGATACGCCCCGAACCGACGTAGTCTCTAAGCTCGGCTTCCACGCGGGTGGCAGTGCCCATTCACTATCCCTGTTGAAGTACGGACGTCGGCTAATCTCGATGGCCTCTCGCACTTTTCGCGGAACGAAGTATTTCTCCCTCGCTAGTACGGAGACCTTATCAAACCGTATGAAGTGAACAGCATCCGTACCGCAAACATGTTCAGCCATAGCCGATGCCTGGATGTCAATCTTCTTCACGCTGCGTATATGCCCCTTTAGCCTGGTTGTGATGTTGCGCCCAGTTTCGCCGATGTAACTCGAGCCACAGTCGCGCGGTATTATGTACACCCCGGGCTCAGCCAGCGGATCCTTATCCTGTGGCGAGCGTAGCAGTTGTCTCAGCTGACCGGGTGGGCGAAAGATCGTTTTGGCAGCAGGTGTCCGATTCTGTCGGTTACTCCTTTCACGTATGTTAAGAACGCTGGAGTCCTTTCCGTAACTGCCGATCGCTTCCTACTCGAGCTGCTCGCTAGTCGAGTACATTGACGCCAGTTGTATCCATTGTTTTCCAGTATCCGTTTTTAAATGGTGAAATTCGTCGTCAATGTACTGCGGATCGCATAGACTCAGCGCCCGGTTTATCAAAGTCCGGGGAACAGCGCTGTCGTGCTTGTGATATATACAGTAAGTGACATAGAGACACTTTCGACAAAATGGCGGTTAAAGGTTTTATTTTACCATATCTTCAAAACTACAAGCCTCCACTAAGTATTTTTTAATTGTAGATAAAAATGTGATTATTTAATAATTTAATAATATTTATTTGTAAAGCTTAAATCTATATAAAAGTAGTTTTAAAAAAATTAAAAGGTACAATAATAGTTTAAATACAAAGTCGTATTATTACCTTAAAATCAATAAGAATCAGTTCTATTAGTAACATTTAAAAATAATAATAAAACATATCAATTATAATTCTTGTTAAAAAACCAAATAATCTAAGTATTGTTTTCTAAAAAATCAAACCTATACACCGTTTATTTTTCATTCAAGTTTGTTATCCTTTTTACACAAAATAAAAAAAACAATAAACATTAAAAAATACACTTTTTTTTCAAAAATAAAATTGCTTTCAAATTAACTTTCAGTCTTCGAAGGCACATTAGTTTCTCGCAAGTGCCACGAGGTGTAACACTTAACTATTATGACTAGATTGTGACATCGTCATTACACGAATTAACAAAATCAGTCATCAAAATTAATAAAAGGCATCGATG